AGGCTGGGATGGCATCCGAGTTCCAGAAGAGTTTTCACGACACCGACATGTCCCTTGTTGACGGCGATGTGGAGGGCGGTCTGACGACGCTTGTTGCGAGCGTTCAGATCTGCGCCCGCGTGCGCCAACAGTTCCATCACGCCCGGTTCATCGCCAAATGCCGCGTGATGCGCCGCGCGGTCTCCATCTTTGTCCTGCGCCAAAATAAGGTCACGATAAATTGTTGGTTGCGCAACTAAGCTCAGGCACAGGCACAGGCGGGCAGTCGTGTCTCTCCTAGAACATGATTTCTGATACAATTTTCCAAATGTGTTATGTACTTACGGTCCAGTACAACCAAGCACTTTGCAATTCAAAATTATAATGAGACCCCCCCCCCAGGGACACATATCAGTGGGTACGGGGACTGGCAAACAGACCGTCTGTGAGTGAGGAGGAACGGAAGAAGCCCACGCAGGGCTGTAGAGCCGATTATGATGATGATGAACAACAAAAATCAGCGGCTATGAACACCTCGGGTGGTAGCAACACTAGTACAGATTCCAAAAATTTTGTGGTAATAAATATTTTTTAAAAATATGCAAAATTTGTGAGGGCACAACATTTCTGATTCATTAACCCACTTAAACCCACGTTAAACTGAGGTAACACAGAATGTCTACAGTGGAATTAAATGACACAAGACAGCTCCTACCTCAATCTCAACGTCGGCCTTGTGTCGCAGAAGAATCTTGATAACTTCGAGATGCCCGTTTTGACTTGCTGCCTGAAGAGCAGTGTGTCCAGCAAATACTCCATTCACATCAGCATCCGTACGCTTCAGAGATTCCTCACACTTCTGCGCGTCACCGTTAGCAGCCGTCTTGACCAGCTCCTCATTTACGTCACCGGACACGTGAGTCTCAAAGAGCTTCTTCAGCAGCGCACTCAAGCGCTCTGAAAAGCAAATCAGAACGTCCAAATTCAAACTGATCTTTAGGGATGAATACGCAGGTAACCGCCCAAGGCAAAAAATCACTAGAACCCTGACACCACATTTCAATACAAAGCGAAATTTAACCTCTCACTGTGAGACAACCATCAAATATACATGATTGGTAAAACAGGACCAATCATCTGATGAACGGGGAATCGCCAACCAGCTCTAGAGTAACCTCGCTTCAGATGACACATGGATTTTACGATCACTTGTGAGATATCCACAAACACTACGTCAGGTCAAAACTACAGAAGTAACTTTTCCTGATCACGCCCAAAAAGAATAAAATGTCCGTACCCCCACTGGACGTGCCGGGTACCGTGCCATCTGACGAAGCAACCTTCGTGACAGCTACGGGATTGTACGTCCAAGAGGTGCCACAAACTTCCACCTTAAGGTCATTGTCGTGGTAAATCTGTTGCACACGGCCGATCTTCCCGAGAGTCTGCAATGAACACGTCAAAGATAAAAGAACACCCTGCAAATTTCAATAAAAGCCAAACTGTACCACAGTCAACTTCATTTCAGCAGAATTTGAGGTTTTCAAAGCAGTGCGTATGAAGACGGCTTATAGCACCTTGCAGTCTGGTAGAAGTTCATCAAAATATTCACCAATGATGATGGAGGAAGCAAGAACCTCTTAAACGGTGGTAAACTTCTACCAGATTTCGTGGCACTGCAACCCACAAGACAGCCATCTCAGGACTCACTTCTGTGAAAACCTCAAATCCTACTTTTTGAAATAAAATCCCTGCAATTCTTCATTTTTCTGCTTTTGTCAAAATTGCATCTCAGCAAACGCACAATTATGAACCACAAAACCATCAGACGGACTGCAAGTATCTCAGCACGACATTAAACCTCGTAGCGGACGTCGATTCATCAAGAAGACGTCACTTTTAGCACCGAGTTCAGTGGATAATTTTCTTCCCACCCAAGTCTGACTCTAGGCAACTTATACAATGCATTTCAGCAGCACAACGTGAAATGAAAACCAAATTTTAAAAACCACGCAATCTCTCAACACAAATAATATCCCAAATGTAATATTCCGATTGAGAATTTAAAAATACGGCTTGTAACGCTGGAGTCCAAGGTTCAGTATTGCTGAATTCAGTTTCCATTTCTTTGCAAAGATTTTCTTTTTTCCTTTCTTTCCTGAAAACTACTCCGTAAAATAAAATACACTAAATAAAAGCAAGTGTCTACTAATTAACGCAAATTTAGAAACACGCGAATAAAGAATAAAGCAAGGTAAAACACTAAATAAAAGCAAGTGTCTACTAATGAATGAAAATTTAGAAACACGCAAATAAAGAATAAAGCAAGGTAAACCTACGGCATCAAAAATTAAAATACATTTAAGATGATTTTTGACCTGCTTGTAACCAACGCTGAACCTACATCTCGAAAATTAAGTTTTTAAAGCAATGATGCAAAAATGTGTTCGTCATCAGCAACAGATAACACACGGTGATGATACTCACTGGAGCCATTGCTTCGGCCCATTCGCCATGGCCACGCTGCAGAATTTTTATACGTTCAAGGTCACTACATATCTGAACCAAGTCACCAACAGTGAACTGTTGCTGCGCGTCGTTTGGACCGGTACCGCCACTGGGAGCGGCCACCACAACTTTGGTGAGTACCGCGGGATTGAACGTCCAGCGGTTGCCACTTGGATATGACACTACGATGTCATGATCCTCGTCGATACCGACCACGGTGCCGGTCGTTCCCAGGCACTCGAACATTCCGTCAGTCCAGCCGCCGTGCCCGTGTTGCAACGACTGTACAATCTCCAACTCCAAGTCGACGTTCACCTGAAAGCATTTATTGTGATGCGTGCTTACGTTACAGTCGTGCTTGGCGCATGCTTCATGGATGAAGTCCGCATCCTAAACTCAGCAGCACTCGAGGTGATAAAATTTCACATGCAACTGCAAATGGCCTTACAATGAAATGATTCACTATTTCTTCCAGTCTTGTTAAAGGCTTAAATTAATCTCCCGAAATTAAAGATGTTTTATTTTAAAGTTACAGAATTTAATGAGATAAATATTATTTGCAACATAAGTCACTCTTAAGAAATCTGACTACAGCCAATGTCAAACCTGCCTTCAGTGTCCTGTTAAGTGTTACATGAGAAGACATCTTAATCCTTTGGAATGCTACAGCAGATAATGGTAAAAATTTACACATATTCCTCAGCTGGGAGATTTGGGATTAAATTTCTAGAATAAATCCACCTTCAGAAAACATCACAAGCATAAAACAGTTTCACCACACACACCTGATCTCCAATCTGGAGTCCGTGCGGTCCGGAACGGCCGGGTCCCTGCTCGCCCAAGAGTGGTAAATGGTCACGATACACCGTCTGTCCCTTTGCGTCATTCACCACCTTCAAATCAGCCTGTAAAACCACAAATGCAACTAATCCACAAGCGACACTCTCCAGATATGAAAGACGCTGAATATGCTCAATGAAACAATCTTTAGCTAAGATCTCTAACAAAATAAAACAGCAGTCGCAATGCATTCATAAGCAAGTACGCAAGATTATATTTCTGGCCATCAAGTAACAAACAGTATTCCAAACGATAAGTAATCAACTCAGATTAAATTTTGACAAAACAAATTTCATGAAATTTTGTACCAGCAACAAAAATGGTGTTAAACTATGTGTAGGGCACAAGAATAAAACAACTGAAGAAGTAGGAACAGCCGAATTTCTTGGCCTACAAATTTAAATTCGAAAACAAATTTTCAATACATTAAGCCTAAACTAAGTTCAGCATCCTTCGACGCGGGGACCGTCACAAGACTAGTGAAAACAGAAACTTTAAAATTACTGTACTTTGCTTACTTCCATTCGATCATGTCACGTGGAATTATTTATTGCGGAAACTCAGAAGTTCAGCTCATCATTTATTTCTAAGTTTAGCGACCATACGACGCATCGCGACAGGACACTAACCATGCCCTCAAACCCAACACGGTACAGATTCTTGGCACCATTATCCCACACAACGTAAGCGGCTGAACGTGGACTGGCCGCGGACCAATCCTGAATCTCGTTCACTTTCCCGCGACGCCCATTACCGCCATCCTGGTCCTCCCACTGCCAGTCGACACCGCGCACGACGCGTGCTCCCGGAAAGATCCCACGAACGGCCACCTTCTTGCTTTTTCGACGAGGTTCCAGCAACATTCTGAAATGAAGCAAATTTTAGTTCAGTGAAATGTATTTCAAGTTGCAGGAGGGGAAGGGGGGCGTAGAACTGCAAATAATTCATTATAAACACTGTTAATTACACGCATCTGCAATTATGGCTTACAAATGTAAAAATCTGGAAACTCACATAACGTACTCATAACCCAAGTTTAAGAAACATATTCTGATGGCAACATTACAGCAGAGAGCATACAATTAACTAACATTATCCTTTTTCCACATCCAACACATGGCATCAGAAACTGATGAGATAATGCTGCATCCCTTGGCTGCAACAAATACTACGCAAACATGGAGACATGCAAAAGCACAAACACTGCTTTCTATTAAAAACACACGATCATACCACTTGCAGTTACCAGCCAAATATTTTGGATAGCAACAGATCAAATTTCACGTCCGTACCATTTATAGCAACCAAAGGACATTCTAGTAACAAAAAAATTGCTTTTACTTTGATAAATAATAACCCAATACAAACATTTCCATTTAGCTAAAGCTAGAATTAGTAGCCTAATATCGCGGCTTTCGGTCCCTAAACATTATTCAATCTCATAAAATAATGGAATTCATTACCCAAACAGAACTTGCCATATTTACAACCAGGTAGTTCATACAACATTTAATTTTTTAAGATAAATGAACAGCTCTCTTAAAAAAAACACAATTTACCTCTCACTGCCAGGTGTTGTGATACGATAGAAACGATGACGAAGATGATGCTTGTCACCGTGGTAACAGATAGAACACAGGTCATAATTCCCACATTCGGCACACTTCCAACGAATCCCAAATATTGGCTGCTGACGACACGTGTCACACATTGTGCCATCATGTTTAACACCTGCAAAAGCGTTAAGCTTCAGATGTTTACTGTATACACCATTGTATATACCTTAAGCAACAAATTTCAAAAACAATTTTACAACACAGTGACCACACAAAACAGTCCATAAATCTGAGTTCAACAATTACGATACATAACACATTTTAACATACCCAATCCTCAAAATGTCACAGGATATGAATTCACTTAAAGTCAATAGCCCTGATACAAAGAAATGTAATATATATATATATATAATTAAACTCATTTTGGTACTCCAACACACATATTTCTTAATAGTTGGTAAATACACACCTGTTGGGGCACTGTCTAGAATTCTTAAGTCATACGCTCCAGAACATCTATAGTTTGCAGCAGTACCATTATCCCAAACAACTACAACTTCTTCTGGCGATTCGAAATTCCTCACAGTTCCAACATGACCTTCCCCTCCATCCTAAAAACAGGAATACAGGTTAATACTGCACAAAGGTGATTATAGTCCAATAAAGAAAACTACAGAGGTCAGTAAGACTAAAACAAAATATATACAGAAAATAACCTGTTTTCCCCATTTCCAGTCTGGCCCTCGTATTACACGTGCACCAACGCCTTCCATCATAAATCTGGTAGTTCTACTTCCAGCAGCAGCACCTCCTTCCATTTTATGACATGTATTCGTCGAATATATTCACGTTTTTTAGT